GGGGGGGCAAAGTATGACTGGGGGCCCGGGAGTTTGTTTTATTTCTTTGAGCCTTAGATTCCTCTCCTCCAAATTGGGTGCACTTGAGATATGTCCTTTGAGTATCAGGAAGGGGTGTGAAGTAATGGTCAAAAGCTGCAGGAAACAGATTTCAGTTCACCTGCCAGAGATGGGTTGTCCCGAAAGGGAAGAGGTCCCATCAGTAAAAGTATGAAAGCAGAGCCTGGCAGGGATGTGTGGAGACTGTAGGGGCCTTTTGCTTCCAACCCCAGCCTCCAAGATCTATCTGCAGGTCCAGGGGGCCCAGAAAGTTTGACCCAGGACTTTTCCCTGGTGATGGCCTCACTCTCAAGTGGCCTCATGCAAAAACCACTTCTAGAAATGTAAAGTATTTTTAACTGAACATGCTGCGAAATCCAAAAGTGTGGGAGAAAATGAAGGTTTGAATTACAGATTATGGCCACAGGAAGAGACAGTTCAGTAACTGTTACTGCTTTTAATTGCAAGGCCTGACTGGGCAAAGAGATAAACTACCCTGCTGCTGGCCTTAGCTGCTCCAGCACAATGCAGCAAAACCCATAAAAAGGAGAGGGGTGTGGCTTCCCAGCCTGAACAGCTACCTTGGCAAATTACAGGGGAGCCCCCACTGAGAAGCATAATTTTCTTTTCAGGCTGCGCCAGGGGTCACAGGGCTGGGCAAAGTCAGTCACGTGAAAAATTGTTTCATATTAATAAAATATGAATCCAGAGCCTGTTAAAGAGCAGAGGAGGGTTACAAAGCCCTGCTCGCCTGGGTGTCTGCTGTCGTCCTTCCATGGCTTTGGCGCCTGGGATTATCTCGGGTTTTCTTTTGTGTGTGTGTGATTGTGTATTTTTCCAGATGATAACATTCCCAACTTGCAGAAGCTAAGTGTGTTCACATTCTTTTCTCTCCTTGAATCCTGTTTAGCCCATTTACAACCACAGAAATTGCAGCTTAGAGAGGCGCAGGAGGAACTGGGGTGCTCTTGGCTGCTCCCCACTCTTGCTTGAAGCTGAGCTTCAGGGCAACAGGGGAGACCAAGAGCTCCTGCTGCTAGGACCTCACAGCCGGGAGAAGCTTCCAGGCTCCTGCTGGCACCAAGCGTGGATGCCAGCCCCTCAGCTTGGCCCCGAAGTGACTTGTCTTCGTTGTCCACTTCCTGAATCCCCCTCTTTCCTCGGTGGGAAGTGGCAGGTCTAGATTCTTCCAAATGGGACCATGAGCTGCCCATTAGCCCCAGCCTGGCAGCTTCCCCCAGTTCCTGCTACTTTTCTGCCGGCTGATTTCCCGGCTTGTAGGGTGGCTGCCCCCTGCTGCCCGGTGTGATGAGAGTGTTGACACGGTCAGGAAGCAGCAGAATCCATCTGTGCTCTAAAGCCCATTGACACCAACTCGAGCTCCCCTTTTAAAAGCATTTTACATCAGAAAACTAAAGGCCCACGGGGGAAATGACTTGCCCTGAGCTAAAGGCAGACCCGTTTTCTGATTCCCACTCCTGTACTTACATGGTGCTGGGGATGACACCACACACACACAGCAGCTAGAAGGCCGTGGGACCTCCAAGTGAGAATTGTTCACTTCAGTCACGGTCCCCCGAGAGACTATACACACACCCCAAGAGGGTGTCAGGTCTCAATCGCCTGTGGAACTCCTGGTGACCTGGCTCCCCTCTCCTGCACACACCTGCCAGGTAAAGCCCTCAACCACATCTCACACACACACTCTAAAATCATATGATGAAGTCCAAACTCTCTGGCTTGGCATTCGAGGCCCTTTCCAGCACGGCTCAAACCTACCTTCCTTTCATTTGTTCAGGGTGTCTGCTGCGTGCCATAAAGATACTGGACATAAAACGTGAGTCCTACACAGTCCCTCTCCACAGAGAGCCCCCAGCCTAATTGGGGAGGCAGACCCACAAACAGATTCCTACAACAGCATCAGGCACCCACCCAGCAACGGCAGGGCAGCCACCACCGAGCGCTTCCACCCGGGCCAGGTGTGGTGTATGCCTTGTCACACTCAGCCTCATGGTCACCCTGCGGGGAGGGACTGTGAGCAGGTTTATGAGACCACTGGGCGAAGCCTTTCTGAGGACAGGGAGCCATGCCAGGTGGGGAAGGCCACTCCAGGAAGAGGGTGGAGGGGTAGTCTCAGGTGAGAAATAATGTGGGAAGGCCGGGGGCTAGGAATGTCTGAGGTAGAGAGAAAACAGTGAGGGGAGGCAGGGCCAGCAGGTGAGTGTGGAGATGGCAGTGCCCCGAGCTGCGTACCTGTGAGCCAGGGCCTCCTTCTGTGGGAAATGGGGCTGACAGTGCTCACCTCGCAAGGTTCTTGGGAAGGTTGTTACGAATATACAGTGAAGCTCCTAGCTCACCGTAGACCCAATAAATGGTAGCTCTTGGTATATTCCCTATTTCTCCCCACTCTCCCATTTTCCCTCTCTTTCTACCGCCTTTCTGCAGAGGAGCTGAAAATATCCTTCCCGTTCCCCACCTACCTTCGTCCACCCCCACCCCGAGCCCCTTCCTCTGTCTCTCTGCTTAAGTGAATCATAACAGGGAACTGGCGTTTTGTGCTTTGTTATATCATTAAATGCCTTTATGTTTCCCTGTTGTTAATTTTTAAAGCATGTGAGTGTTTTCCGTGTCTTGCTTCTGTGGTTAAGTGGTCCTTGGTCACCTCGTCTTTCTCCTGGGACGGCCCCGTGTGGAGATGCCTCCTCCTTCAACCACAACCTGGAGTCCTGCTCTGTGGGGACTCCGGGCAGATGTCACCAGGCAGAGAGGAGGGTCCTCAAACCCGATTTGTCCTTCCCCCTGCTCCTTTGAACTCCGTTTATCCCACGTTGCTAAATTTAAGCTGTTTTTCTAGAAGGGCTCTGTACTCTGGCTAAATTAAGCCTCTCTTTCTGCCTTTTATGAACCTGCCCAGCATTAATTACCATGTTTGTCACCAGGTAATACAAATCTCAACTCCCTGCCACCAGATTATCTTTTTTAAAGAAATGCAGCTCATTTACAGCTAATAACCGGAGGCCCTGCCGTCCTTGGCCTGCTAAAGCGACATGATTTATAGCACCTGGAAAAGCCCGGGCACCTTTGTGTGGGACCATTGCGCTGAGACAGCCTGGCTCCCCCGGTGCTGGCCATGTCTTCTCTCCGTCTCGTTCCGGGCGTGGCGGCTGCTGATTAAATGCTCGCTGGCACCGAGCACAGCACTGGCCGCCCAGGCCAGTGGGCAGGATGTGCCCTGCGCTGGGGCCTCACAGACAGAGATAATGCCTTGTCCTCTCTTCCCCTCACAGACCACGTCTCGGTCGGAGGACTCGGGGACAGTTTTTATGAATATCTGATCAAATCCTGGTTGATGTCGGCCAAGACAGATATGGAGGCTAAAGATATGTACTACAAAGCCTTGAAGGTAAGGCAGGCCCGGCTTCTTGGCGGGTGGGCATTTGCCACCAGCTCACACAGGCCCCT